AAGAGAACTAGGAGATTCTGGGTGAAAGCAAATTATTTTTTGTGTTGCTTGAGCTTACTACTGCCTATATGGATTGCTTTTTCAAGTAATTTGGTGGTGGTTTTGTTTTGTTGGTTGAGTATTGACCATAGAGCCTCTCAAAAGCTAAGCATGGGTTCTGACACAGAGGTAGAGCCTGTCCTCAAATTTTAAAAAAATTCAGACACGTGAAATTAAAGAGGTAGAATCAAGATGTTGTGGTAGTACAAATATGAGAATATTTTGCTGTGAAATGTGAAGTCATTTTGGTGGTGGTAATGAGATCAGGGCCTTGAAGGGAAAGTCAATCCCTCAAGGGGAGAAGAGCTTATGTACGGGCCTAGAGACCTAGAGTGATGGCAAGGTACTTGGCAGGGCTGGTAAATACAGCAAAGAAGAGGGATGTGGCCAAGGAAACTAGAGAGGGGCACTGGGGCCGTATCACCATGAACCAAGACACTTGAACTCAATCCTGTGGATAACAGCAGCTAGGCCAGGCCTGGAAGCAGGCCCACGTCATAAGCACCTCTAATTGTGGCAGGTGAGCTATTGTAAAGGACCCCCTCCAAGTATTTCTCATACTTTCTTTAATAAAATATGCTTTTATTTTCATTGTAGAAAAACTAACTTTTAATGTGGGCATAGTAGTGCATGTCTGTAGTCCCCAGCCACCGAGGGGACTGAGTCAGGATCGCTTGAGCCCAAGGGTCAAGGCTTGCTTGGACAATATAGTGAGATCTGTCTCTTTAAAAATTCTTTTAAGCTGGGTATGGTGGCACAAGCTTGGAAACAAGCTTCAGGAAACAGGAGGCAGTAAGATCACAAGTTCAAGGACAGCGTGGGCAACTTAGTAGGACCCTGTCCATAAATAAATAAATAAATAAATAAGTGGGCTGGAGATATAAACGGGTATCTCCAGCCTATTTATTTATTTATTTATTTATTTATTTATTTATTGTGCCCTTTGGTTTGATCTCTAGTATCTCTCATACACATACACACACATACACACACACACACACACACACACACACACACACACACATACAATTCTCATATATTAAAGTAAACTCAGTCTGAGGCAGGAAGACTATAAATTCAAGGTCAGCTTCAGCAACATAGTGAGACCCTGCCTGAAAATAAAAAATATAAAGGGCTGTGACTTGGTGGTTAAGCACCCCTGGGTTCAATCCCTGGTACACTCCACCCCCACAAAAAAAGAAACTCTATAAAAGGTGAAGGCATAAACCAAAGCAGAGAGGATAGAGATGAGGGGACAAGGGGGACCTTCACTGATGTAGCTGCCTGAGGCTGTGGTGCCATGTCTGGGGTCCAGAGAAAGTGGTGCAAGAAGAAAGCTGAGAGTCTGAGCCTAGAGTCTGGATAGGCTAATGCAGCATACAGGGGGCTGCCAGGGTAGGGAAGGGCACATGATGCATGGCTCTGCTGTCTATGATTCTGAGGCACCACTGATCCTCTTGTTCTCCCCCTTGTCTGTGCAGGCCCAGCATTTCTACCTTGTAATGTTCAGCTTCATCTTCTGGGGGTTTCAGGAGTTCCTCCAGCGTGCGCACCTCCTCACTGGTGATATCAGCACAGTAAGGCTCCACAGAAGCCCAGAACCTGTAGGGAGAAGCAGATCCTGAGTGAGTACCCTTCTGGGCCTCAGTCTTGGGTCCTCCCACTATGTTCTCTGACCAGAACCTGTTGGGGGCATCATTCTTGGGGATCCGTGGCACATCAATTGGGTCATCAGTAAATTCATATTCCTGGATCTTGGGTTGAAGGTTTTTGGATTTGGGTCGCCCAGGGCCAGGGCCTGGCCCATGTCCAGCCTTCCCTTCCAGTTTCTGCTTCTTGGGTTTTCCATGTTTAGGGGGAGCTCCAAGCTCATGGTCTCGACCCAGTTTCATGAATCTTCGGTCACCTTTCTTATCCTGCCAGTCAGTAAGGATCTGAAATTTACAGAGATTGTCACTGAGAAGGAGGGAATAACTCTTTTTTTTCCAATAAATAAATTAGGATCTAGAATTCAAGGAGGCTCCAGGATTTCCCCCTTACCGTTTTGCTTAACAAACTCCTAATCATCCTTTAAAACTCAGTTTTTTTTTTAAATGGATCTTTTATTTATTTATTTATTTATTTAATATGCTGTGCTAAGGAGTGAACCTAGGGCCTCACACATGCCAGGCAAGTATTCTACCATTGAGCCACAACTCTAGCCCCTAAAACTCAGCTTTCATAGGATTTTACTCACATACTTCTCAACTTTCCATTCACCTATCTGTCTGTAGTCTTATTCACCTATGTATCACCCAAGCTAGTCACACACAGTAGAAAAGTCAAATAAATGATCAGACCCCAGTGCATGTCAGCCCTGGGGAAAAATGCTGGAGGTGACTTTTTGTGAAGACTCCCAGTAAACTTTAATTTCAAATGTCAACCGCCTGCAAAGCTTTCCTTGCCTCAGTTACCTAGCTTCCTTGGTTTTAAAACACAACTGATTGTACCACAAATACTTTTAGGTAAAGTTAAAATGGCATCTCCTCCCTCTCTGAATCTGGCATCTTGTACTTTCACTGGAGACCCAATCATGTTGACTGATCACACTGCAAAAGCACTGTACCTTGTCTCTTTACTGGACTAAGCTACCTGAGATCAGGAAACTTATCATAACCATCTCTATTCCCCAAGATCCAGATTGGTGCCTAGGACTTGGAGCTCTGGGGATGTTAATACACTGAATAAAAATAACTGTAATAGTAGCTATAACATTTGGAATGTTTACTTAGTGTCAGACACTGGGCTGAGCCTTTGCAAACATTCTTTTAATTCTCACAAAAGATCTAAAGTGAATTCTATTGTTAAGCCCACTTTGCTGACAGGCTCAGAGATAGGAGCTAACTTTCTCAAAGTCACATAGGTAAAAAACATCAACACTACAAAGTGCTTAGGCAAAGGTTCAAATCTAGATCTCCCCATTCCTTTTAGTTGGCAAGTTCCCTGATGGCAAAATGGTTCTAAATTATCTCCCTCTACTGATTAGCACAGGACCCAAAACATAATGGTAAGTGGGATCAATAAAAGCTTAGTGAATGAGAACACTTGCAATTTACAAGGATTATGAACATTATATGTATTTAATGTATCACATGGGCTGTTTGTGTATCTCTCTCTTCCCATCAGTCCCTCAACCTCAGCATATGAAGCTAACCTAATGACCCACCCCATAACTTGACACAGTGCATTTCCGGTGATGTCCCCTCTTTGGGGTATCACCTGGGTTTCAGCCTCCAGCACACGCAGACGCCGGCTGGCAGAGGACAGCAAAGTCTCAAGCTCCAGCTGCAAGGTGTCCAGCTCCTCAATGCCGATGCCATCATCCTCAGAGCGGGCCAGCACTGCTGTGTAGCGAGGACACACCTTCAAGTGGTCCACAGATTTGAAGTCATGGAACTGCAACGGGCAGTCCTTTAGCTCACTCATGGCCCAAGAGATGTAACCCTGTGGAGCTGGAGAAGAAAGGGCTGTTGATGGGAGACAGTGGCATGAGAAAAGCCCAAAGGCTTCTTCCACTGGGGAATTCAACAAGAAAGTCAAGTTTCATTCTTACTAACAAGATTGACAGCACAGATCCTATTTACAAAGCACCTACCATCCACTAAGCTAGGTGCAGAGCTTATCTTACTGAATTCCTCACCCACCTCCATAAGCAGGGACCACTGTGATGCTCTTTTTTACAGAGAAAGAAACTAAGACTCTGAAAGGGTGAGGACATGCTTAAGTTTCCAAAACTCAACTTGACCCCAGGTAGTTCCTGAGTGTGCAGTCTCTGTGCCCAGGCTTCCTGATGCCCTTCCCTCCTGTTCGTCTCCTGAGCCTCTGAGTTTCAACCATCCCCCTCCTTACAACATTCTCTGTGCCTCCCAGCCTCTCCTTGTTTCATCCTATTCCACCTTTTCCCCTTTCTATGCCACCTTGGCTGGTTTGGAAGGCTGGTTGGGAGACAAAACTGAGTTCAAGCCCATTTTCTATTTATGTGCCTCTGAACACGTTATTTAAACGGAGTCTCAGTTTTTCCATATGCAAAATGGGGACAAAACAAGAGGTCTCTCTTTCCCCCATAGAAGTATGAATCTGTAAAATGGGGACAACAGTACCTACCTACCTGGGATGTGCTGAGGATTAAGAGATGATGCCCAGTTCAGTGCCTGGCACCGAAGAAGTGGGACTGCTTAATGGCTGCCCCACCCGTGGGTCGCCTCAACGTCCCGCCTCCAGCGTCCCCGTCCTCTAGGGAGCCCCTAACGCAGCCCCCGCCCCCTCTGCCTCCTCTCTACGGCCTCCCGCGGCCCCCGGGCCGCAGGAGGGGGCGGGGAGCCGTGGTCTAGCCGAGCAACCGCCCCGGAACTGGCTATGGGCGGAACCCTGTAGTTGACGCGGGGGCGGGGAGACGGCTAGGGCGAGCCCACTGAGGCCAGCGGGGGGTTGGGGTGCGGGCAGCCAGCGAGCCTGCGGAAGGCCTCTGTAATAGGCCTCCAGAGGACTCTTGGGGACAGCCCGAGGCCGGGGGCGGGGCTCGGCAGCCGAGATCTCCGCGCGGCAGTTAGCTCCACCAAGCCCCAGGGGCTGCAGGTAGGAGGGGCGCGGAAAAAGGATGGGGGCGCAGCGCCGGAAGGAACGTAAGCTTCTCCGCCTCGGCTTGTCCTAATTTGGTGCCCAACCTAAGGTCGGGCTGTACTATTGTATGATAGGGGGAAGGCTTCGGGAAAAGGTGGCCCAAGAGTCGAAAGCATGAGGGAAAGATGCATGGGTAGAGGGAAAAAATTTGATTAGTGATTTGGAGCTTCAGGACTTTAAAGATACCATGATAGTCGGAGCGTGAAAATTTCATGAAGATACAAACGTTCTTAGACTGTCCTGCCCTGTTCTGAAAACAAGATGGTGCCGCCCGGAAGTCTGGGCGGAGACTGCGGCTGCGCTGCTCAAGAAAGGGCAGTCGTCGCGGGGCCGGCCACTTCCGCACTTCCGCTTTCCGGCCCAGCCAGCGCCCGCGATGGTGAGAGAGCCGGGCCCCGCGCCAGGGACCCCCTCAATTCTGTCTTAAGGCTACGGGTTTAGGGGAGATGCTAATTCGCCGCGGTGACCTGGGGCCGAGGGGTGTCAGAGAGTGTGGGGGCACAATGAGGGTTGGAAAAAGGGTGGGGCGCGGGCCAAAGTGAGGAAGGGGCAAGCAGGGGAACTGGCTGATAAGAAGCAGGCCTTGCGGCTTCCTGGTTGGGCATGCAAGGCAGGTATAGAATATTCCTGAAGTATGGAGGAAGCCGGAAGCGGGGCATCTAGGCTTGTGGTAGTGCCTGAAGGCCCGCAGTAGGCCCAATAGCCTTGTCTTGAGGCCGCTGAAGTATGTATTAGGGCCACTTCCTTGTCTAGATTAGAGCTTCAGTGAATACACCCCCTCGTCCTCTCTTTCCTTCTTGACTCCACTGTTTTACCGAGACAGGTGCCCACTTTTCCTTGACCTCTGGTGGGTACCACCAACCTTGTTTCTATCCCAGTGGAAGGTCACTCTTTTTGTTGCCTCCATTCACGGGTCATCCTATTCAGAGCTAAACTGTGTTGACTTTATGTAAAGTCGTACTGTCCATCCCTCCCTTCCTGGGAATCTTTCCCTTTCATATATGTGATAGTTCCAGAGAGTTGTGACTGTGGCTCACCACCTCTCCCTCTTATCACTTTTCTTGCCTCCAGGCTTTGGTGACCTGTGTTCTGGTGACTCCTCAGTCTGCATTCCCAGCTGTCATTCAAGGATCACCCAGTTGTTTTGAAATTAGACCACTAGTTCAAAAGCCATCTAAACCACCTATTCCTCCTGTGCTACTTTTCATACCTCGCTGAGAAATATGGTTTATTTTTGCGGTTCAGGAGATAAAATTCAGGGCCTCATTCATGCTAGACAAGCTCTCTGACACTGAACTACCTCTCCATGCCTGTGTGTGTGAGAGAGAGAGAGAGAGAGAAGGGAATGTCCTTGGAAAGGAATCTGGGGTGCTCTACCACATTCTCAGCCCTTTTTTATTTTATTTTATTTTGCATTAGGGTCTGGCTAAGTCACCCAGCCCACTTGGGATCTTCCTGTCTCAGCTGCTGTAGTAGCAGGGATTACAGGCATGCACCGTATCTGGCTTGATTTTTTTTAAAAATTCAAGTTTGAGACATTTCATCATACTATCTTATTTTATCCATAAAAGTAAGGCATCACAGGGTTGGCCACCTAAATTTTACCTTTATATGTATTATCTATAAATGTTGACAGGCATGTAACCATTGCTACAATCAAAGTACAGAATATTTTCATCACCTCACAACATTTTTTCCAGTCCCTTTGTAATCCTCTTCTTTCCCCAACCCCAAATACCCCTGATTTTTTATTTGCCCTTATCGTTTTGTTTGCTTTTTCCATATTGTCTTATATATGGAATTCTTTCATGTACTAGCTTTTTATTTTATTATTATTATTATTTTACATGATGCAGGGGATTAAACCCAGGGCCTGGCACATGCTGGGCAACCACTACCAATGAACTATACCCCTGTTCTCTAATATATATACTTTTAAGTATGGCTTTTTGCTCTAATACATTTGAGATCCATTCATGTTGTGTGTATCATAGTAGTTATTCCTTTATAAAATGCTTAATAGCATTTTATTGTATGAGTGGACAATGTTTTGGTTTTTTTTAATATCATTATCTTCTGCATCTAATGTCAGTCCTTGTGGTTCTCTGTCCTCTTTACTGTCCCTGTCCAGGTTCTCATAAGAATTTCTTGAATAACCCTCTCTGCTCTATGTCTCACTTCCCTCTCCAGCCCATTCCCCAAAGAGCCACTGTGCAGCTGAAGTCATGTAACTTCCTCCTCAGAAAGCCCCAGTTTAAAAGAAAAGCTAACTTAGTAGCCTAGCGTATAAGATCCTCATGATTTTAGACCAGCCTTCTGTTGGCAGCTTCATCTATACAATCTAAAGTGCTTCACATGTACAGAAACCTTATACTTGTTACTGCTATTGGAACTCCTAATGCCCTTTTTTTTTTTTAAGAGAGAGGGGGGGACAGAGAGAGAGAATTTTAATATTTATTTATTTTTTCTTAGTTCTCGGCGGATACTACATTTTTATTTGTATGTGGTGCTGAGGATCGAACCCGGGCCGCACGCACGCCAAGCGAGCGCGCTACCGCTTGAGCCACATCCCCAGCCCCTAATGCCCTTTTTTATTCTATCCTTGTTATTTCATTTTTTTCTACAGAAAGTTGGTAAGACATTAAATGTGAGGTACTGAGCTAGCTAGGTCCAAGCTATGTAACTGAATGAGGTAGACATGGTTTACAGTCTAGTGTGAAAAAGAAATCACTTTACAGGGAGACATAAAAGATATGTCATGGTAAATTATAATAAATGCAAAGAAGGGGGAAGTCAAGAAAGATTTCTTTGAGGAAGGAAGAGGCCTTCCCTAATAAGCTGAGCTCTGAAGGATTGGAGCAGAAAGAGGAGGAAAGCCTCCAGATAGGTGTTCAACTTGTATAATGTCTTGAGGTGAGAAAGAACTTGACTAATGTAATTAACCGTGTAGGTCGAAGCTGATTCCTCTACTGGGAATGTTTTTATTCTATTTTTTTTTCCTCATTGTAAACTCCTGATCCTGTATCCAGTCAAAACCAGTTTTTTTTCTGTCAATATAGATTTCTTATAATTCTGATTGTTTTGTACTTCGTCCTACATTAAACCACATGTCCTCCACCCAGTTGAGCTATTTGAGGGCAGAAATGATCTACATATCTTTGAATTCCCAGCTAGCTCACTGCCTGGCAAATAGTTGACTTCTGTGCTTATTGGCTTAATGTAGAGGTTAAGAACATTCACCTGGGTACCTCTGGATCAATTACTTGGCACCTTTTACATTTGGAGCTGGATGATTCTGTTGTATGTCACAGGATGTTCAGCATCACCTCTGTCCTAACCATAACCCTAACCCTGTCCATTTAATACCAGTTGTACCCAGACAAGTCATGACAATCCATATGTTTATTCTGAATGTCTCTTCTCAGGCAAAATTGCTTCCTGTTCAGAACCACTGCTCTACACTTAAGACTGAAAGGCATCTTGAAAGCCTAATGGGTTCTGTTCACTGTGACATCCCATAGCTGGATGCTCTCAGGCCAGCCTGGCTCCAGGAGAGCTGGAGTAGTGGACCAGTGGGGTGGGTGAGGCAGATTCTGATTCTCCCCAACTCTTGTTTTTTTTCCTACAGACTGCCACTCTCCGCCCCTACCTGAGTGCCGTGCGGGCCACACTGCAGGCTGCCCTCTGCCTGGAGAACTTCTCTTCCCAGGTTGTGGAACGACACAACAAGCCAGAGGTGGAAGTTAGGTAGGAAAGGAAAACATCATCGGGGGCAAAGTATTAGTGCTATTTAGGCAGTGCCATGAACCTGTGTCCTGGAATTGTCAGGATAGCTTCAGTTCACATAATTTGTCTTGCTGCCAAGGTGAACAGTGATTCCTGATTTGGAGTGAAGAAAAGAGGGTCAGTGGGTTGGCAGGGCAAAACCCAGGGGAATATTTCTTCTGGAGCCAAGATTGCCTGAACAGGACTGTTCATGAAGTAACTCCTGTGGCTTTATTGAATTCATTGGCAGTTTAAGCAGAGTTTGGATAATTTGGTTATCTGAGATGCCATCTCTACACGTCTCTGTTGTTGTTGTTATTACTGCACATTGAACCCAGGGGTACTCTACCACTGAGCTACACCCCCAGGACCACCCCCTGATACCTTTTTTTTTTTAATGTTGAGACTAGCTTCAAACTTGTGATCCTCCTGCCTCATCCTCCCAGGTTTCTGGGATTACTGATGTGCACCATCACACCCAGCTACTGTTATGCTTCTTAATATACATGGTTTCTACTAGACATTTAAAAATATTAACAGCTCACAGACTGCCACAGTTAACTACCCTAGAGATATCAGAGATTTGGAGGTGTTAAATTGAGACCTGAGCTTAGGAGTCCCAGTGGTACAAAAGTGATTCATTCTAGGTTAATAATTAAAGGACTTTAGGGCTGGAGATGTAGATTAGTGGAAGAGTATTTGCCTAACATGCATGATGCCTGGGCTCAACCCTCAACCATGTCCCCCCAAAAGAAGAAGAATTTAAAAGAAGCCAAACTGTGTTTATTCAGTTTTAGCCTGTCATTATTCTGGAACAGATGCTTTCCTCATCCCCTGGTTTGCCTATAATTATTAAAATCAGCTATCTTTGGCAAAGCTCTTAACATGTAGTAGGTACACTGTTTAGACATTTGAGCCTTTTTGATTTCTCCGAATCTTCACCTGTGAAATAAGAATCAGAGTCATTTTACAGATGAGGAAGTTAAAATTCCAATCCTGTGACATGTCCAAGGAACATAACAGGAAGCTGAATTTCAAAACCTTTTTGTCCTGACTCCAGGGCCTGTGCTCTTTTTGCTGCAGAATATGCTCCCTGGCTTCTGTCTTGGAGCATACTTGCTTGTTAATCTTCTATAGTTTGGATTCTGTGGTTTCAGTGATTTTAGGACCTGCTGTTAGGTCACCTTAACTCTTCTTTCTCTAATAATGAGGTCTCTGTGACTTTGTGTTTTCAGGAGTAGCAAAGAACTCCTATTACAGCCTGTTACCATCAGCAGAAATGAGAAAGAAAAGGTGCTGATTGAGGGCTCCATCAATTCTGTCCGGGTCAGCATCGCTGTGAAACAGGTGAGTCACCATGCAGGAGGCCCATAGTTAGGAGCTCTCTTTGAAGTAAAGGGTCCCCATTTAACAGACCAATGTGGCATATTTAGTTTAGGTTCTGCTTGCTTGAATGTACTCAGGAAATGGTTTGCCAAAGCAGGTCAGAAGAATAATATGAGCAGTTATGTCCAGTAGACCTTGCTCTGGATTAGAATGCAGCCAAGGTTGTATGACAAGTTAGGGATCAGGTCACAGAACCATTCTTAAGGAATGAGGAATACATTTACTTAAGAAAAAAAGCAATGCTGGTACCAATTTCATAGCCATACTGTCTGCCACTGCCACTTAGTTTAAGAAATAAAGTACCGGAGCTGGGGTTGTGGCTCAGTGGTAGTGTGCTCACCTAGTATGCATGAGGCACTGGGTTCGATCCTCAGCACCACATAAAAATAAAGACAATAAAGTCCATCAACAACTAAAAAAGTACCAATTCTACTATGTTTCCTCAAACAGCATTTCACCAATATCTGTACTTCCTGCTACCCCTACAGTGCTTGACATATTCATGTACGACCTAGATGGTTAATTTACTTAATAGATTTTGAATTTTTGACTTATTTCCCCTTTCTCAAATTGGAAAAGAAACTTTATGCCATAAATGGAAATACAGTATCACTTTCCACAATCTATTACAATTCTAAAAATAAACACAATAAAAACAATGTTATTCAATTCAAACTAGATACTATTGCCTACATAAAGCTCCAACATGAGGTCTGCTGTCTTTATTCAAAATGTAATATTGCAAAAGCCTGTGATCCCAGCTGCTAGGGAGACTGAGTCAGGAGGGTCACAAATTCAAAGGCAGCCTCAGCAACTTAGCAAGAACTTGTCTCAAAATAAATAAGAAAACAAAAAAGGGCTGGGAATGTGGTTCAGTGGTTGAGTGTCCCTGGATTCAATCCCTGATAATAAAAAAGGAGATCAGCTAGATATGGTGGTTGTAATCCCAGTGACTCAGGAGGCTAAGGCAAGAGGAGTTCAAGTTTGAGGCTAGCCTCAACAACATAGGGAGGGCTTCAGCAATTTAGTGAGACCCTGTCTCAAAATTAAAAAAATAAAATGGACTCGGGATGTAACTCAGTGCATGTGGCCCCTGGATTTAATCCCTAGTACAAAAAAAAAAAATGAAATTGATCAAATAATGTTGAGTGCATGTATGTAACAACAAATTTCACTATTATGTATAATTAAAATGTACCACTAAAAAAAAATAAATAAATGGAAGATCATCGGGTATAGGGAGGTATTAAGGGCATTCTAGCACCCAGCTATAGAATTCTTCTTTAAGAAATATTGAAATAGTTCAAAAGGTGAAAACTTAGCCGGGCTCAGGGGTGTATACCTATAATCCCAGCAGCTCGGGAGGCTAAGGCAGGAGAATCACAAGTTCAAAGCCAGCCTCAGCAACAGCAAGTCACTAAAAGTTGTGAAACCCTATCTCTATAAATAAAATACAAAAAAGGACTGAGGGGCTGGGGATGTGGCTCAAGCGGTAGCGCGCTCGCCTGGCATGCGTGCTGCCCGGGTTCGATCCTCAGCACCACATACCAACAAAGATGTTGTGTCCGCCAAGAACTGAAAATTAAACATTCAAAATTCTCTCTCTCTCTCTCTCTCTCTCTCTCTCTCTCCCCTCTCTCTCTAAAAAAAAAAAAAAAAAAAAAAAAGGACTGAGGATGTGACGAGACTCAGTGTTTAAGTGTCCCTGAGTTCAATCTCCGGAACCCCACTACCACCCCCCAAAAAAGGTGAAAACTCTGTTGATTGATGTATAGTGACATTAAAACAGAGACTACCTAAAGTTGTCTCAGTTACCCTGGGTGGTATGTGCCACATATTTCGAGAAGTAGTGCACTGTGAAACGAAAAAGAGAGTTTGTTTTGTTTTGTTTTGTTTTTTTTAAATAATGGCCTAGGCCTGTAATCCCAGCTGCTCTAGAGGCTGAGACAGGAGGATTGCAAATTCAAGGCCAGCCCCAGCAGCTTAACAAGACCTCAAAATAAACAAAAAGAGCTGATGAAGATGTAGCTTTAGTGGTGGAACATCTTTGTATTCAATTCTCACTACTGGAAAAAGCAGAATGAAAGAAATCAACAGGAATCATCTAGGCAGTACGATTGAGGATCATTTTGCTGGGCATGGTGGCACATACCTATAATCCCAGAGAGCTGGGAAGCTGAGGCAGAAGGATCACAAGATTGAGGCCAACCCAAGAAACTTAGCGAGATCCTAAATAACTTAGTGGGACCCTATCTCAAAAAGGGCTGGGGATGTGGCTCAATGGTAAAATGCCCCTGGGTTCAATCCCCAGTCCAAAAAAAAGGGCAGCTTTGAATGGAGATGTGGACTGTGAAAGAGCTGATAAGAGGTTTGCCAGAATTGCCCCCCTGGAATGGATTAGGATGCTGTTACAGTAATGCTTCATTAGGATAGAGGGGCCCTTAAGTAGATCCTCCTTTCAGTTGGCATCTATGTCCCCACCATTCACAGTTCTGTCAGTGATTGATCCCAGTACCAAATCCCACTGTCTCCCATGGGCCTGGGGACAATTGGGTCCAAATACCAAGCTACTAGTTGTTTTTGGCCTCCCCGTGTCAGCTTTAGAGAACCATCTTTTTTCCTTTGCTCTCACCAGGCTGATGAGATTGAGAAGATTTTATGCCACAAGTTCATGCGCTTTATGATGATGAGAGCAGAGAACTTCTTTATCCTTCGAAGGAAGCCAGTGGAGGTAAGACCTTATATATCTATGTCCCTAACTCCTGAGATTCTGTGCCTGAGTGGCCTATAATTGTCTGTTGAGCCAGGATTGCTACTTCTTAGTTTTTTTTTTTTTTTTTTTTGTGTGTGTGTGTGTGGTGCTGGCTATTGAACCCAGGGCTTCATGAACACAAGGCAGGCACTGGGCTACAGCCCCAGCCTGCTACTTCTGCAGCAATAGGATACCCCCTGACTGAGGTGAGAGTCAGCCTTCATCTCAGCTGGAGCAGTAGCAGACAAGATTAAAATCTTAGGGTCTATACATCACTCATTACCAGAGTCTACAATATAACAGCAGAAAGAGCACAATGAATTAGAAATCCTTTTAAACGGGTTGGGGATATAGCTTAGTTGATAGAATGCACAAGGCCCTGGGTTCAATCCCTAGCACCACAAAAAGAAAGAAAAAGAAATCATTTTAAACTCTGCCACCAATTTAAATCTTAGTTTTTCAAAGCCACAGTTAACATTGGGTCAGTTGTGGTCTGACTTTGTACTTGACTCCTTTACACAGACTCCCTACCAGGTTAACTTAAAATATCCCTACCAGCTGCAAGGCAGAGCATGGGCAGAACAGGCAGATGTGTTGATTAGACACACCAGATGTGTCCGCCAAGTTTTTCCTCATCTTGAGCCAAATTCTCTCTCCTGGTCTTAGAGCTAACTTCAGTGGCCACATAGAATAAATAAAATTGCTCTTCATTACACACCCTCTTGTAATAAAAGACATTCTTACCTGCCAAATCTCACCCCTCTTCCATGTTATCTATTCTCTGGAATAAAGTCTTCTTTATTGTTTGTTTGGATTATTCTGAAGCAAGATTACAAGTCCCTTCATTCTCCCTTAACTTATTTTGAATGCAGGGCTTTTTGTGCCACAGATAGTTTTCCAGAGGCATCTGATATATACAAAATTCTCTTCTGGGTTCAGTTGTTTGGATCCACAGGATGTGGACTCCTAACTGACAGGGCCAGTTATCTTGGGAGAAGATCACAGCCAGCTGGAAGCATGTGAGTAAGTAGAGCAGAAAACCTGGCCAGTTAAGTGTCCCCTGGGGCTAATTCTCTCCTGTTTCTTCTCTTCCTCCTCCCTACCTTCCCTAGGGCTATGACATCAGTTTTCTGATCACCAACTTCCACACAGAACAGATGTACAAACACAAGTTGGTGGACTTTGTGATCCACTTCATGGAGGAGATAGACAAGGAGATCAGTGAGATGAAGCTGTCAGTTAATGCCCGTGCACGTATAGTGGCTGAGGAGTTTCTCAAAAATGTAAGTAGGGGGCCTTCCTGCTTTCCTGCCTGAGGTGGAAGGAGCCATGGGTTGTGTGGAGTTAGCACCTGGTGGGAAAGAGGTGCCAAATTTCCACATCTTAAAATGTCCACAAAATTCTTAACCTATTCTAGTTCAGCCCCCAAGTGAGGCTAGGGAAGTGCATGTGCCAGGTTTCCAGAAACATAACAGTTAATCGTCGTGTAATTCCATTTCTCAAACAGAATTAAATATCTTTCTTTAGTGTCTGTTTCTGAGGCTTCAGGTCCTGATTTCCTCAGCCTGTTTCCCATCACTTTGATGGCTTAAGGCCTCTGGATCCCTCTGAAATTGTTTGTGCCTTTCTAACAGAAAGGACTGCAGTTCTGAAGAGGAGGTAGTGTTTACATTGAGAAACTGATGACATAGTTGTTCTTGTTTAGATATTCAGGATAGGCCTTCTTAGGCATTTTCCCCCTTTCTTCCAAACAGTCTTTGGTTTGTTGATAAGTTCCACTCAAAGTTGACTGTGATCCCCAGATGGTAGGTTTAGTGTTTACTCCTCCCAGTTAATACAGATCACCCAGAAGGAGCTCAGATTTCTAAAAATGGAAATTTAACATACTTCCCCTGGGATTTAATCATACTGAGGGTGGCCCAGTGCACAAAGTCACTGTACCATGTGTGCAAGGGAGTAGTCCAGCTGCCTACCAGTCAGACCTCCTGGGTGTCAGTCTATTTCCTTTGCCTACTCAGCTATGTCACTGAGCCTCTCAACTAAGCCTGAGTTTCCTCAACTGTGAAATGAGGATGCTATTAATATTTACCTTTCAGAGTGGTTGAACTTTAAATGAGATCACGTATGTCAAATGTAACACCTGATACCTAGTAAGCTTTCTGTGTAAGGTGGTACGAAAGTTTATGCCCAGGGCACTAGGAGGCCTCTAGATTCAACTAGCATGTTCACAATTCCTACTTAATATTCAAAACAGGAGTCTAATACTCCCATGCGTTTGACATGTGGAAAATGTGGTGTGTTTTTTCTCCTATTTAAAAAACACAAAATTCTGCTAGCCACAGTGGCCCATGCCTATAATCCCAGTGGGTTGGGAGGATGAGACAGGAGGATTGCGAGTTCAAAGCCAGCCTCAGCAATGGCAAGGCGTTAAGCAACTCAGTGAAACCCTGACTCTAAATAAAATATAAAATAGAGATAGGGTTGTGTCTCAGTGGCCAAGTATCCCTGGGTTCAATTTCTGGTACTTATCTTTTGAGTTAAGTGTTACTGTGTGATTTTGCGGTGTGGAGGTACTGGGGATTGAACTTAGTGGTGCTTTCCCATTGAGTCATATCCCTAGCCCTTTTTATTATTTTGAAACAGGTGTTCACTAAGTTGCTGAGGGCCTCACTAAATTGCTGAGGCTGACCTTGAACTTGTGATCCTCCTGCCTCAACCTCCCAAGTTGTTAGGATTACAGTAATGTATGCCACTGTGCCCAGCAGGTGTTACCATAATTATAGATGAATAAACTGAGGTCTGGAAGTTATTTAATCACCTGCTAAAGTTCCAGAGCCAGGAAGTGGAGGAACTAGATGTGGAATTGGGTTTTCTGATGTAAAGATCTAAGACAGTACCTCAGTACCTAGTGGGGTTACAAATTCAGGTACATACACAGGTCAGGCAGCAGCATATGTGATCGAGGTGGGCTGAGTGGGGACCTGGTGAGCTTGGGCCTCATTTGAGGAACATTGCCACCACGTAGCTCCAGCCTGTTGTACTTTTCGAAAGAATTCCAAATCTAGATTTATATATGACATCTTCCATGTTATCAAGGTTGGCAGCTAATTCATAGTCTTTTAAGCACCACATGGGCTAATCTTTGGGCTATGCTCCGTCATCAGCCATTGATTCACAGCCTCTGGCTTATTAAGTATTGTTCTTGGCACCATGGGGGATACTTGAGGGCAGAAAATTTTCTAAGGCCTGTGCTGGTTGGAGGATCACCCAAAGCTGTATCCCTCTCACCTTGGCCTGCAGAGTTCCCATGTCTTTTTGTTTTTTTATTTTATCTTTGGTATTAGGCATTGAACCCAGGAGATTTTGACCACTTGAGCTACATCCCCAGCCCTTTTTATTTTCTGTTTTGAGACAGAGTCTTGGTAAGTTGCTTAGGGCCTCTAAGTTGCTGAGGCTGGCCCTGAACTTGTGATTCTTCTTCCTCAGACTCCTGAGTTGCTGTGATTACTGGAGTGCACCCTGCACCCAGCTCTGAGTCCCCATGTCTAAAGAAGGCACCTTCAGTTTATATGTAAGACACTGACAGAGCTTTATGGTAGCATCCATAGCAACAGTCTAGGGGAACTGTGGAGAAGCCCTCGATACTTATCTAGTGCTAGATTTAGGGTCAGTGCCCCCACAGGTCTCTGCTGAAGATTGGCTGAGTTAAGAGTATGCTCAAAGGATGTTCTGGGACCCAGCCCCACCCTTCAGAACTCTGTGTACAGTGGCAGCTCTCAGATCAACCCACCATCCTGGAGCAGGCCCACCCGGATACAATAATAACCACTATTCACTGCCTCTTGGTTCTCTTGACAGTTTTAAACCATCTGGCTGGATCTCGCGGCCTACCCCCTCAGCCTCTCCCTGTGTCTCTGCGAAAGCATCCTGGAGTCACTCCCCAGAGCGGCAACGGCAACAGCGGCAGCAGAAGCGGGGAGCTGGGTCGGGTGGGCACTAGATGCGGGAGGGGGGTGGTGTGCTTGCTAGCTGGGCAAGAAAGCAGCAGTGGACCTGCCCCAAGGCCACACGTGCCTGGTCAGGCTGGCTTCTGATGTTCAGTCCCCTGGGCTGGGACAGATTTTTTTTAACGTCTTGAAACTTAAACTTTGTGCTTGTAGGAGACTGTAACCTTTTTGTCTTTTTTTTTTTTTTAAACAAACAACCTCCACCTCCAGTGGCTGTGACTGGTCCCAGTGATTGTACCTTATTGGTCGCTGTGGGTCTGGGCGGGCCTGGAGCCAGAAGGCGACTACTTTTTCTCCCCTGTGCTACCCCAGGTGGGGAGAGAGGGAGGTTTTAGACTCCAGTTTCTCTCCATTGCTCTCTTAATCCCAAGCCTCCTTGGGCCCAGTAGAAGTGGTGGGAACCTTCTATGAGCTTCCTGAGCTCTGCCTGAAGATGGCCTCCCAGCATTCAATGGGGACAAGGGCTGAATCCATGAGTACCAGCCATACCTAGGAGCTGGAGCCCAAAAGCCAGGCAACTTCTGGCTGCATGGGGCCGCTTGGTGCCCTTCCAGCTGAGAGGGGCCACTGTCATGCTTTGTCTCAGTGCAGTGCCTGTGCTAGAGGTGTGGAGAGGTAAGTCCTCCTCCAGAGCTCCCCCTGGGCCCTCTCCGCCTGCTCTGGCTCCTCTGCTCCCACACGCTCGGTTTCTTTTCTGATTCTAGTGGATCCTCCCACCCCTGATTAAAGTCTCTTCTTGCCCTTTTGGGGCTGCATGAGGTCTGAACTCTGTGTGTATATGTGAAGGGAAGGGAGGTGGTGCTATTTTTATTTCCTGAGACCAAGCAGCTGGTGCTTGGGCCTGGAGCTCCCCATCAGTCTTATAGATTGATCCTACCATTATCCCTGCCAAAGACTCCAACCCAGTGACCATTGCAGTCCAAGTACCATGTGTTTCTGAAAATGTTCTGTCCATTCAGTGTTGGTGCTTTTCACATGATCTCATGTGGGCTAAAAGATAACCTCAGAGAAACATCCGTCCTATTTTTGGATAAGAAAACTGAGGTTCAGTGAGATGAAATAGCTTGCTGCAAGTCTCCAGACCATGAGCAAGAAGTTTAGACTTCTGCCTGGGCTAAAGCAGTAGTTATTTCTTTTGGTACCAGGGGTTGGACCCAGGGGTGCTTAAGTACTGAGCCATATCCTTGCCCCTTTTCATGATTTATTTTGAGACAGGGTTTTTTTAAGTTGCTCAGGGCCTTGCTCAGTTGCTGAGGTTGGCCTCATATTTGTGATCCATCTGCCTCAGCCTCCTGAGTCTCTGGTATTACAGGCATGCACCAATGTGCCTGGCTTCACCTTTATCTATTTAAATTACTACAGTTAAGTGAAGTTTATAATCTGGTTCCTCAGTTTCACTGATGTCATGTTAAGTATTCAGTAGCTACAGTGACTAGTAACTACCATATCAGCACATATATTTCCATTGTCAAAAAAAGTTATATTGGATAATGCTAGACCTTTTTTAGTGATAACTTGAAGTAAACAAAACTGATTTACGTTTGAGTTCTGACTCTTGTTGCTGGATTTGGACAAGCTGTGTATATTCTATGCCTCGGTTTCTTTTTTAAACTGGGGATTGAACTCAGGGGTATTTTTACCACTGAGCTACATTTCCAACTCTTCCTTTTTTTCGGACAGGATCTTACTAAATTGCCCAGGTTGGTCTAGTCCTTCCGATCCTCCTGCTTCAGCCTCCCAGGTAGCTGAGATTACAAGCATGTGCCACCATGCCTGGGTCAGTTTCTTGATCTCTGACATGGAGACTATGAAAGTGAACTGACACAATCTCTGCCACACAGGCACTGAATGAACCACTGGTTGTTTGTTCAGTATCTGAGTTGTCTGATAAACTCCAACATGCTAGGCTTGGGGATATCCCTGCTTTGAGAAGACTTGGGAGTCCAGTAAAAGAGCTAGGCATGTGAATAAATATATTGAAATGTTTCATATGTATTGTTGGAAGTCTGGGGACTGGGAGGGGGCCATATGTATAGGAGGGTATAAAGCTTCTATAATGGTTGGCCTTTGAGCTGAACTTCACAAAAAGATTTTCTTACAGATGGCCAAAGGGGTCTTTTGAAGGGAAGAATAAAGAAATAATAAAGGAAGGAGGGGCTAGTGGTGGGAACAACTTGAATAGGTATAATCCCCTTTATGACATTACCTCTGTGACCTCCTGCCTTGCTAAATTAGCTAGGCTCTCCTCAGAGGCACATGGCTATGTTGTATCATTGCAATGAATGTGAAAGGTACTCGCAGCAAAGTGCGTGACCACGAGTGTGTGGCAGTTTCTTACTCCCCTCTCACAGGATGGCATTTACCAGGTGAGCCAGCAAGAACCCTGATTTGTGGCAAATTTCTCTCCCAGGATCCAAAGATCCTTAAAACCAGATTTGCAGGCTAATGAGAACAGACTGTATGGTTTTAGTCAGCTGGTTCTCTCTTAGGTCTTTTAGGATACCCCAGCTAAGGAGGTTTGGGAAATGTAATCTTTGGTGTCAGTTGGACAGGTAGTTAGTTAAGGGACCTACCTTCACTGTAAGAACAGAACTGCCCAGTGACTGGGTTCCAGCCAGGACTCTCCTGGACTGCACTTGCATAGGCACTGCTCAAGTTAGCCTGTCAAACTGCTGATTTGGTCCTTTGTGATCAACAGGTCAAACCCCATTGAGTGATAATCACAGGAAGATATGTATAAGTGTGCCTCAGACCTGGCTTCCAGTGTTGCCTGTGATTTGTGGCAGTTATTTGACATCTTGGAGCCATATTGCCCCTATGACTTTTGAGGATAATACTTTACCACTCTCTCTAAATGGTCATTTACAATCTTGACCTTTTAAATTTATTTTGCATTTGATTTGAATGATGATCAGTTTTTCTGTTTGAGTTACCAGGAGAGGAGGTATGTGTTCTGTACCCATGATTGCTCCCCGCAAATACAGCCTCGACTTTGATTTTCATATCTGTTCCCCACCACCACCAAACTTACTAGCCGCATCTATCTGCTAGGCTCTCAGATCTGAACTGGGCTCACTAGGCTCCAGCCACTCTGGCTGCCTTGTATTTCCCCAGAAAGGGTCTTCCCTTTCGAGGTTGCCAAAACTGTTTCCCCTGCCTACAATGCTAAAATGTTACCTCTTCGGAGAGGACATCTTTGCCCTAATGTGTACTTCTTTCCTGGTTTCAGCTCATTGCTTATTCACTGCCCTCATACCTGTAGCTATTTTGTTACTTGCTGTTATCCCACACTGGGCTATAAGCCTCTTGGGGTTGGGGTTCACTTGTCAGTCCCCAGCCCAGTGCTTAGCACGTGGGTGGCCCCCTATAAATACGGTGGGGGGCATTCCACGCAGGAACCGCTGGATAAGGAACCAGGATTCCAGCCCAACGTTCTGTTCTACCCTCAGTGCCTTGCCCATCAAAGGGGTGGGGATAAATGAGGCCCAGAGCCTGGCTCACCCTGGAAAACCCCAGCTCCTCTGACCTGGGGCGGCTCCGGAACCCTCTGGTCTGATTGTGCCCGGGGGATGGTTTCTATGGTGACAGCAAACAGAGGGCGGGGCCTGAGTGCTTCTCAGAGAGGCAGCGCTGGGAGGGAGGCGGGCTCCAGCGCTGGAAGGGCTCGCGCAGCGAGGGGCGCATGCAGGGCCCTGGCGGGGCACTTCTGAGCACCAGGGAACTGGGCCCCGTGAGCCAGGGCTCGGCCACCTGGTTCAGCCAGGATCAAGGCCCAGCGTGCAGTTGGCGGCGAAAGCCCCAGCCACCAGATCCACACAACAGTTCCCCCGCCTCTTGGCCCTGGGTTCCCTACCCACAATACCGGCTGCCTGGGAGGCTGCCATGGCCGGGGCCCGCCTCCACCCAGCCCGAGGCGAGTGGTGCTGGCCGTCAGCGCCTGGCCAGCAGTGCTGGCTTCATGCCCTGCCTAGGCCGCGCCTCCGAGACTCCTGCCTGCGGCACCCGCGCCCAGGGCCCTGCGGATCCCCACCTATTCAGCCCCCGGCCTGCCCAGGTCCTGGATGATCCCCCCACGCAAGACGGTGAGGCCCAGAGCGTTGCCTGCCCTGGCCGGTGGCAGCTGCAAGAAGAAGCATGGGGACGGAACGAATGGTGTGGGCGTCCTGATGAAGGGTGGAGGGAGGGAAGAGGGTGCCAAAATGACCCCGGCTAAGCCCCAACCTATCCCAGCCCCTATAACGCCTCTTTCTGCAGGATCCCTTGTCCTCTGGCGAGGATTCTCCAAGACACCTCACCACATGGGCCGGCTCAGAAACGCCAAAATCCACGTGGAGAGAGCTGTCAAGGTCGGAATGGGTTGGTGGGGAGGAGTTTAGAAAGGACCCTGGAGTACTTTGTCCTGCCTCCTTGTGGTATTTTTGTCATGTCCTTCAAAAGCAACCAAAAAAAACCTCCTTAATTCTACACTCATCTTCCAATACCTCCCCATTTTCACTTCTCATTCAGGGCCAAACTTCTTGACAGAATTGTCTGGGCATTGTTCCACTTCTTTACCTGGAATTCACTCCTCAGTTCCCTTCCCTCTGATTTTCTGCCTTTCCCATCCCATTCCTTTTAAAAACCACTCTCATTAAGGCCCTTCGTGACCTCCAAGGAGCCAAACCCAGCAGCGCCTCTTCAGTCCTGCCATCTTGATTGAGTTGCCTGTGGGTGTGCACTGATGCCCCACACACCCATCCTCCTTAGCTATCTGACTGCACACTCCTACTTTTCTTTTCTCTCTTTCTGGCTGCTACTTTTCAGTTGCTTTGGGCAGTTTCTTAGATATTAGAGGCTCCATAGATCCCTACCCATGCATGCTGCATGCATGCTTCTCTCTGGTTGTGAGTCCAATGTGCTGCACCCACTGCGTACCCTCTCCAGCCCCCTAGTTGACATCTCTACCCAGAGTTTATCAACATTTCAATCTCATGCTCTGATATCCTACCCAAACTTGTCATTCCTTCTCGTCTGGACTTTCTCATCTCAGTTGTTCAACCTCAAATCCAATATTTCCAATTTTTTTTTTACTACCACATCTAATCCCATCAGCAAAATCATTCATCTCTGATTCCAAAATGAATCCCATCCCCCCACTTTTGCCCCATCTTCACTGTAAGCACAACAGCCTTCCAAATGGTCTGTTTCCATACTTGTTCCCATCTTTTTTCCATACAGTAGCAAGCCAAACTTAACAAAGCAAAGCTTCCAACTAAGCACTTCCTCACCTAACCTTTATTGCTTTGTGCTACTCATATAAAAACCCACATCCAAGGGCTCAAGCCTGCAGGGCTGTCCATGGTCTGTCCATACTACCTACCTTCTCATGGGCTCTCCCTTCATTTTCCAAACTGCACTCACCCTTTCAGTTCCTTTTGGTCTCCATTCTGCTTTTGGGCCCTTGCACATGCTTTTCCCTCTGCCTACACTGCCATTTGCTCAGCTCTGTATATTCATGACTCTTTTGATCTTCTCTAACCATGTATTCCTAAGTAGTTTCTCCGGGTCTCATTAAGTATATAGATTTTACACTGCCTGGATTTAAATCCATACTCTTGGGGTTGGGAGTGTAACTCAGTGATTGAACTGTGCTTAGCATGGGTGAGGCTTTGGGTTTAATTCCCAGCACAAAAAGAAATCTCTTTCACTTAACCATGGTATGTCCAAGCTACTTAATTTCTCTGCATCTTTATTTCATAACCAGTGAGCATCTAATAAAAATGTATGTCATTGTAAGTAATACATGAAGCATTTACCACATAGTAAATACTCAGTAAATATCAGCTATTATTGCCAACATTGTTACTATGCATATTTGTTTATTTTGGTACTAGGGGATTGAACCCAGGTGCATGTTACCACATCTCTATAGAGCCCTTTTTCTTTTTTTTTTTTTTAAGACAGTTCTTGCTTAGGGCCTTGCTAAATTGCAGGAACTGGCCTTGAACTTGCAATCCTTCTGCTCCAAATTCCCAAGTCATTGGAATTAACAATCATATACCACCCCCCCCAGACACTATGCATATTTATTTCCCTCCATGTTTTTTAGCTATTTTTCCCAGTAGAATATAAAAATTCCCTACAGAGGCCAGCTTAGAGGCAGAGACTGTAACTGGGTCACTACTATATCCCCTGTGTTTGGCACCTTGGCAATGCTTATTGAACAAGTCTCTATCTCTCACCTTATAGCAGAAGAAGATCTTTATGATCCAAGGCCGCTACCCAGTGATCCGGTATCTCTTACGCCGGAGAGGCTGGGTAGAGAAGAAGATGATCCATCCTCCGGGCACTGCCTTAATGCCATCCCAGAAGGATCTGGACAGCTCAATGCTAGGTGATAGTGACACCACTGAGGAAGGTGAACAGTTCCCTCTCTTTCCACAAGACCCCTCCCAGTCTTCTTCCTTATGTTCTCACCATCCCAGGGTTGAGGATTTGTACCTATGGGGCAGGGACATGGCTCTCATCAGGTCTGGGCTCTGCATACATTGAAGATGAAGAAGAGCATTATCAACAAACACAGCTGTTTGACTTAAATGGCCTTCTGGAATTTGATGACCTAGATGGGACACATGCTTTGATGGTGAGCGTCCTGGGGGCCAGCTGAAGCACAGGATTGGCTGGAGGGTGGCTATTCAGAAGGAGAGGTCTGGCGCCCAATGGGGTGACCTCAGACAAATCCTTTTCTTCTCTGGGTCTCAGTTTCCCCATCTGTATAAAGATGATTGTTTCTCTAAAGGCTGGATAGGCCCCCAGAGCAGTGAAGGACTCAGTGGGGCTCTGACAAGGCTGTCACATCCTCTGTGCATGCTAGTTATCCCTTCCAGGTAAAAATCTCTTTGTTCATCTGCTTCCTTTGCCCTTAGCAATTGAAGGCTCATAGGAAGGTCTTACACAACTCTGAGAGAGGCTGGTGAGATGGTGTGGAGGACATGTGTGTGGAGGTTAAGGACACTTGGATTCATTAGATTGGCACCAACTCTTACTAAGTTGAACTATATGAAATAGCCATTCCTGCACGTCAAGATAAGATGAAAATCGGTAGTTTCATGTGGTTCAGCTTTGTGAACCCTGGGGTAGGTCGTTTACCCTTCGTGTACCTCAATTCCCTCATCTGTGAAATGGTAGCTCCTACCTCATAGGGTTGGATGAGGAGTCAATGGATTAACATAGAAAGTATTTCAAACAGAGCATAGCATATGGTGTTATTAGTTATTAATAATCCTACCTCCCAGATTTTTAGAAAGGATGGAGAGGTGGGGACCACAAAAGAACCTCTGTTACATGCTGTGTGCACATCAGTTTGGAGGCTGTGTCCAGCTTCTGGCAAGTGACTGATGGCCATGGGTCAGAGAAAGGTCCAGCATTTTGTTGTAACACTCAGACTAAGCCTGCTCTCTTCTGGCCAAGCATGTGCCCTGGAGAAGAAATGCCCTTCATGCCTTACACAGAAACGTTGTGAGGACCACAGGATAGTTTGGAAGTATCCTGTCCTTTGTGCTCAGGAGGGTTGGGGAGAAGCTGCCCACACTGGCCTCCCTGTCTCTGTCTCCTCCCCAGTCCCGCATGGTTCGGAATGAGACACCTTACCTTATCTGGACCACCCGGCGAGATGTGATGGACTGTCGCTTCCTCTCTAAGGATCAGATGATAAACCACTATGCTCGAGCTGGCTCCTTTACTACAAAGGTGGGCTCCTCAGGGCAGTAGGCAGGACAGCTTCCAACCCCACCCTTAGACTAGTAGTCCCAACCCCGTCTCTCCCCTTGTCAGTAAAAGAAAGTTCTCAGGAAAGCAGGAGATAAATAATCCAGTGAGACCTGAAGTCAGAAAGACTTGGACTCTAATTCAACCCCTGTGGGATATCTGGTAGTGTAGACATCTTGACTAAACTGGACTTCAGCTGGATGTGATGGTGCACACCTATAATCCCAACGGCTTGGGAGGCTGAAGCAGGAGGATCAAAAGTTCAAAGCCAACCTCAGTAACTTAGCAAGACTGTGTCTCAAAACAAAAAAGGTTGGGGATGTGGCTTAGTAGTTAAGTGCCCCTTGGTTCAATCCTTGGTACCAAAAACAAACAAATAACTGGGCTGCAGGATTCAAATAGGATCTGAAGCCCACACAAACACCAAATCCAAACTGTGAGCAAGGGTACATCTGGCTGATGGCTTCATTCTGTCTTATCTCTGATAGCAAGTGGCTGTACATCTCTGAGCCTCAGTGTCCTCATCTTTAAATGACAGTAGCAGTAAGGCCTGTTTTCTAGGGTGAAGGATGAAGAACTTTATAAAATGGTCTGTCATTTTATCATTGGCAGAGACTTGGAGAGGAATTCCTAGATGAGGCAGGTCTTTAAGGATATGAATGAAGGGTGAATGGGATTTGTGACAAAGGGGACCACCAGGCAGACATGGATATAGATGTGAGTAAGTTAAGCCTAGTGAGTGGAATAGAGGCTCTGAGAGCATATGGGCAAGGTCTTCCTGACTGGATGTGTGCTGCCTGTGGGGGAGTCTCTTAGAGCTCCCTGGGCAAGTCCTACCCTGCCCCCTCAGCAGCTAACTCCATAGGTGGGTCTGTGTCTCAATCTCCGGAACTTGCCCTGGTTTGATGAGGCTGACGCTGACTCCTTCTTCCCACGTTGCTACCGCCTGGGTGCTGAAGATGACAAAAAAGCCTTCATAGGTAAGGAGAACCCCTAGCCCCATGCCTGGACCAAATCTCTGGCTCACACCAGGGAATAGCAGGCCTCTCCTTATGCCCTCATCTACCCCAGCAAGTTTCTTCCCTATCCCCAGTCCTACTATACCCTCACTTAATGATACTCCTAGCTTGGCCAGCCCTGACCTCCAGAAAACTTAGGTAGCTTGCTTGTATTCTAGAGCAGGTTCTAAAAGTTAGTGGTTGGTTGAATTTGGAATCCAGAATGGATTTCAGGCTTATGTCAAGTTCTATTGGCTGGATTGGGTTCCATGAAAGACTATAGGTTGTGAGATTCTAAGGCAGAATGGCTTCCAGCTCCACAGTATGTTCTAAATAGAATTTGGATCCAGGTTAGACGCTAGGTCTTAAGTTATGTTCCAAATCTGAACTAGGTTTTGGGTCAAGGTTTGGGTTCTTAGGCTAGAATAAGTATCAAAAGTATATAAGGGGGGCTAGGATTGTGGCTCAGTGGTAGAGCACTTGCCTAGCACATGTGAGGCATTGGGCTTGAGCCTCAGCACCACATACAAAAATAAATAAAATAAAGTTATTATGTTCATTTACAACTAAAAATATTTTTTAAAACTGTATGAGGAGCCGGGCACAGTGGCACATGCCTGTAATCCCAGTGGTTTGGGAGGCTGAGGCAGGAGGATCACGAGTTTAAAGCCAGCCTCAGCAGCTTAGGGAGACCCTAAGCAACTTAGCAAGACCCTGTCTGAAAATAAAAACATTAATAGGGATGAGGATGTGGCTCGGTGATTACTCACCCCTGGGTTTAATCCCTGGTACAAAAGGGGGAAAAAAAAAAGTAGATGAGGAACTGAAGAAAGAACTAAGACAACAGACAATCTGGTCCACACCAGATTCTGAAGACAGAGTATAAGCCAAGTCCAGTCTCATTGTCACATTCTGGGTCTGAGAATACAACTGAAACAGGATCCAGGTTCTCATTCAGGTTCTAGAGTCAGAAAAGGTAGAGTCAGGTTCCACATCCAAAATGGGGCAAGTCACGATCAGGTTCCAGAACCAGAACAGGCCTCGAGCCTAGGGGCTGAGCAGGGTATCCCCTGCCCTGGGAGCAGAGGACTTCTGGCTGACAGCTGCCCGCAACGTTCTCAAGCTGGTGGTGAAGTCGGAATGGAAGTCATACTCTGTCGAAAAAGAAAAGGAAGAAGCCGCAAGTAAGTACTGTGGTTACCTTCACTCCCTTACCCACCGTGCTTCCATTATCCATATCCATATGACCATCCAACACCCTTCCCACCCTTCTTTTCATCCATGTGTTCACCCATCCTCCAGTCTACTCATTCACCTATCCATCCATCCATCCATCCATCCATCCATGTATCCATCCTCCCACCTACCAACCCACTGTTGATCTCCTCATTCACCCACTTGCCATCAGCACATTCCCTATCCATTTATCCACTCCCCACTCTCCTTCCCATCCTTCTACAAAACCATTTATCCATGTATTATTCTATCTTCCTAACTACTGTTTATATACCCTCTAGTCTGCTCACTCAACCATTTTTCTATTTCCCAACTTCCCATATACATGTCTTCTGGTTTGTTTGGTGATCAGCCTGTGCATGGGCCTGGCATGTAAATGAGCACCCTACAGAGAGCAGACTAAGAAGACATGGTCCATCCTTGTCTGAGGGAGATAGGTCTAGGAGAAGGAAGAAGTGAACCCACAGTTTACAGGAGTCCTGAGCACCCTATGTGACCAAAAATAAGGAACATCTGGGACTGGGATTGTGGCTCAGCGGTGGAGCGCCCGCCTAGCATGGGCGAGACCTGGGTTTGATCCTCAGCACCACATATAAAATAAAGGCATTGTGTTGTGTCCATCTACACCTAAAAAATAAATATTAAAAATTTTTTTTTAAAAATAAGGAACATCTGGGAGTAAAGGGCACACAGAAGAACACAGCCCATTACTTGCCCCTTCCCTTTATGTATTTAGCTCCTACCTCCAAGCCACTAATCCTTTAAATGCAAGGGCTCCTTAGCCAGGGATTCAGAGAAGTAAAGGGCAACTATAAGGGAAGGAGAAAAAAATCCCTGTCTCTTCTCCATTCTGTCTTTTACATAACTGTGCCAGGTACAAGATGACTCTTATTATGTGCTAGGATTAGTAGCACAGGGGTCCCCTACTGGGCAGAGACCCTGCACTTAAGCTTTCTCTGGCAATGGGCTCAGGTGTGGGTCAGGCTGCAGGGGGTTAAGGGCTCACTTATATTTCAGGATGTTCAGGAATGAGTCAGGGCTGTAGGTGTGCATTGAGTCTTCTGAGATGTCAGTTTCTAGAGATTCATTTTCAGGTGTGTGTCAGGGCCTCGCATTGCACATGTAAGGTTAGTGTTTCTATGGGTTGATGATGGTTGATTTATGTCAGGATTCTGGGAGTGAGTAGATTTCTGTTGTGTTTCAAGACTTAAGAAGTCATATTGGGGGCTGGGGATGTGGCTCAGTGGTAGAGTGTTTGCCTGGCATGCATTCAATTCCCAGCACTGTGAAAAAAATAATAAAATAAATAAAGAAGCCATGTCAGGTTTGGTTTCATGTATATCTAGGTTCAAAGGCCAAGGTTTCCAGGTGCAGGGTCTCAGATGTGTCAGAGGTCCCAGGGTTAGAGAGGCTACAGCTATGTGCTGGGGCTTTAGGTGCTGTAGGACTTTGGGGACATTTAGGGTGGAGTGGGGGCCAGGGATGAAGTGCTAGAGTTGCAGGTAAATTTTGAGCAAAACCTCAGGTAAGTGACAAGTCCCAGGGCAGCTGGGGATCTGGGTTCATGGTAGGCCTCAGGTGTCTTTCAGGTGAGGCCTGAGGTGAGTGACAAGCCTCGGGTTGGTAAGCACTGTAGCATGTGTCATTTCACCTTCCTTGGTGTGTTCTAGTGACAGACAGACTCTTCCCTATCTCTGCAGGAGAGAAGAACCTCAAGAATCAGGAAAAAAAGCTCATGACAGTGTCCCCAGAGTTTGTGGATGAGGCCTTGTGTGCATGTGAGGAGCACCTTAGCAACCTGGCTCACATGGACATCGACAAGGACCTGGAGGCTCCACTGTACCTCAGCCCTGAGGGCTGGACCCTCTTCCTCCAGCGCTACTATCAAGTGGTCCAGTGAGTACTCCTGCAGCCAGGGCTATGGGCTGAGGCAGGTAATTAGGAACAGACTCTCACAATCTAACACAGCCCTCGCCTCCTCCTGAAGCCTCTCATTTTTGTTCCTGTTGCTACTCTTCAGCTCAGGAACCCTCAGGGATTCTCACTGCCTCCTTGATAGAGTCCAGACCACTCTTCCTGGCTCTTAGCACAATGTAGGCACTAAGATGATGGCCTGTGCTGTCAGGTAGACCTAAGTTCAAGTCCTGGCTTTGCAACTTCCAAGCTCTATGACTTTGGCAACATCACTAATCTATTTGAACTTTCCTTTTCTGGACTGGTGGTATAGTTAAGAGTGCTTGCCTAGAATATGCAAGGCCCTGGGATCGATTTCCAGCACCATTAAAAAAAAAAGACAAGTTCTAGTTTGGGGAGCCAGATGATAACCAAGTAAATGAATGGGTCAGGTGGGGGTGAGTGATGGGAAGAGAAAGGTAGGGGAGCTATGATACAGATGTGCTTGAGTGAATTAATCTAGAAGGGAACCCACCTCTTAAGCATTATTAGGTCTAGATAAAGAGGACAGGAATGCCAAAAAAGCACCTGCAGATGAACTAATCAGGCATTTGAATCCTGGTTCAGCCACCAAGTGGGTAGCCTTGGGCAAATACCCTAATTTTCCAAGCTTTAGTTTACTTTCCTCTAAAATGGGACAGGTGATACCTCCCTGAAAGGGCTGCTAGAGGATTAGAGATAATATATGGAAAGCCCTTGGTGTGGTGCCCCATCATTTGGAGCTGGAATGATTCAGTTTTAATAGGAAGGGAGTGGGCAGAAAATGGAATATTGGAGTGGAATGTGAACTGTGAAGTAAATGGGATTTACTCAGTCATTCCTATTGCTATGGTCTGGGCAAGAGGGCTCGTGGGGTGGCTTGAGGGTGAAGATGGAGGTTTGAGAGAGATCCATGTGGATCTCTAGGGGGAAGGCATGACCAAGGTGGTTGAACCATGGCCTAGGGTGAAGGAGGATATGTCTCCCCTTGTCCTGCCCTCCTGCCTGCCCCCAGGCCTTGCCCTGCCTAAGTCCCACCATCTCTCCACAGTGAGGGGGCAGAACTCAAGCATCTGGATGCACAGGTCCAGCGCTGTGAGGATCTCCTGCAGCAGCTTCGGGCTGTGATGCCTCAGATTGATATGGAAGGGGACCGCAACATCTGGATCGTGAAGCCAGGAGCCAAGTCTCGTGGACGAGGTGGGGGATCAGCCTCTGCTTTTTGCACCAATACCCTGTGATCTTATCCCCCATTAGAGGCCAGGGAGGTTAATAGTGCAGTCTGCCAAACTGGACTGACAGCCCAGCTCTGTCACTAATATTCTTTGTGACCTAGAGCAAGTCACATCACCTATCTGAACCTCAGTTTCCTCCTTTGTGAAGTGAAGATTGATAAAGCCTTCTACCAGGTGAGATTAAATGCAGAGTACATCTTAAGTTGTAGATCAGCATAGTCAACCCCATATGAGAGCTGCTGGGATGATAGTCCCAACTGTTCCTCTCCTGCCCCTGAGTTTGGATCAATGCTTTAGGTAAGTTTGGTGACACTCACAAGCACTTAGTTGCTTATTATCTAAAGGATCTCAGATTTCACCAGCACATCTCTATAGTCCTAAGGCCAGGACCCCTAGTTCAAGGTTATCCTTCCCCTACTTATAAGACTTCAGGCAGGGTTAATTAACCTTTTCYGTGCCTCATCATCATCACTGGTAAAATGGAGCCAATACTTCCTGAGAAAATTAAATGAGTATAATGTTTATAAAGCATTTAGAAGCCATGCATGGTGGCACATGCCTGTAATCCCAGCAACTGGGGAGGCAAAAATAAAATAAAAAATAAAAAAAGCTAGGGATGTAGCTTAGTGGTTAAATGCCCTTGGGTTTAATCCCCAGGACCAAAAAAAAGTACTTAGGTCCTGGACCTGTGCATAGTAACTGCCACATTGATGCTTCTATTATTAGCTGTTATTCAGACTCCTCAGCCAAGTGTGACTGGAATTTGAAAAGGAAAGCCAGCAGTGCCTTAGCCCCGCCTTTAAAGACTGTGAAAGGATGCCCAAGAGCTAGAAAACAGATTTCAGTATCAGCTTCTTTCGAATACTGCTCTTGAGTAGGTTTATTTATGCTAGGGTGAAGCCATTGCAGCTCCAAACATTGGAGGATGTCACATTAAAACCAGGAGGGCTGGAGATATAGCTTAATAGTCGAGTACTTGCCTAGCATGCTTGAGTCTCTGGCTTCAATCTCCAACATCACCAAAAGAAACTGTTAAACAACTATCATTCACAGTGGTACACACCTGTAATCCCAGCCACTGGGGAGTCTGAAGCAGGAGGATTTCAAGTTCGAGGCCAATATGGGCAACTTGACACGAGACACTGTCTCAAAATAAAAAGGTCTGAGGATAAATCTCAGTGGTAGAGCACCCCTGGGATCAATCCCACAAAACAACAACAACGAAAAAAGCATTAGATTCTTTTCTTTTTATACTTTAGAAATACTTGATTTTTTTTCCCAATCATGAAAATATGTGTTTATTGTTTTAAAAAAATAAAACAAAACAATATAGGAAATTAGAAGCAAATGTCCCTTGATTTCACCAAAAGATAACCTATTAACTTTTTAATGTGTTTCTATCTACACTTGTTTCTATGCATTTGGTGTGTGTATTATAAGTCTTTCTCCTTTTTTAAATTTTGGTACCAGAGATTGAACCCAGTGGCACTTAACTCTGAGCCAACTCCCCAGCCCTTTTTATTTTCTATTTCGAGACAGGGTCTCACAAAGTTGCTTAGGGCCTTGCTAAATTGATGAGGCTGGCGTTGGAATTTCGATTCTCCTACCTCAGCTTCCTGAGTCATTGGGATTACACTGCACCTGGCAGTTATAATTTTTAAAAAACATATTTTTGTTGCAGATGAACACAATACCTTTGTATATTTTATTTTTATGTGGTGCTCAGGATCAAACTCAATGCCTCACACGTGCTAGGCAAGCGCTCCACCACTGAGCTACAACCCCAGCTCAGCAGATGTAATCTTTTCTTATACAAGGCATTATGGTCTTGGGCCAGGCACAGTGTGCATGCTTATAATTCCAGGGTTGGGAGGCTGAGGCAGGAAGACTGTGAATTCAAAGCCAGCCTCAGCAACAGCGAGGCACTAAGCAACTCAGTGAGACGGTCTCCAAATAAAATTCAAAAAAGGGGGCATGAGGCACTTAGTAGTCAAATGCCTCTGAGTTCAATCCCTGATAACCACCCCACTCAGAAAAAATAAAAAGATATTATATTCTGGAAATCCTGATGATTGGTCTACCCACCACCCTTTTTTTAAAAAATATTTTTCTAGTTGTAGATGGTCACAATAACGTTTATTTTGTTTATATATTTTTATGTAGTGCTGAGGATCAAACCCAGTTCCTCACACATAGGAGGCAAATGCTCTGCCTCTGAGCCACAACCTCAGCCCTACCCACCACCTTTTTAAAATATTTTTTAGTTGTCAATGGACCTTTATTTATTTATTTTTTAAATTTATATGTGGTGCTAAAATTTGAACCCAGTGCCTCACACATGCTAGGCAAGTGCTCCACCACTGAGCTACAACCCCAGCCCCAATCTGGCCCTTTAGGAAAAGATCCAGACCGGGAACCAGGCACAAGTTTTTTCTGTGCCATTGGCAGGCAATAGGCTACTTTGGGCAAATGAGATTATTTGTGATTTTGTGTCTGGTGATATGATTCTGATATTTACTAGCATTAAAGCAATGCCTTAAGCCAAACAAGCTGGTGCACATTCAAAATCCCAGTTCAGAGGCTGAGGCTGGAAGCTTGCCTGAGCCCAGGGGTTCCAGACCAGTCTAAGCAACATAGTGAGAACCCTGTCTAAAAAGAAAAACCTTGATGGGCAGAATCAAAATCTTTGGGACACAGGTCCGCTGTGTTAGCAAAGCAATAAAACTTCTTTTTCCTTTTCCTCAAAAAAAAAAAAAAAAAAAAAAGAACATTTTCTATCTAGAAGAAAGTCTAAAATAGATCATCATAATCAACAGTGTTGGGTAGGATTTGAACAAACACAATTTCATACATTCTTGCTGGGACTGAAAATTAGAAGAACATCTTTGGCAATATAAAATGAAGAATGTGGGGCTGGGATTGTGGTTCAGCGGTAGAACACTCACCTAGCATGGGCGGGACCCAGGTTCGATTCTCAGCACCACATAAAAATAAAGGCATTGTGTTATGTCCATCTACAAAATATATATTTATTCTCTCTCTCTCTCTAAAAAAAAATTAAGAATGTACACACCCTTTGAGCCAGCAAACCGATGGGTAGAAATTTATTAAACAGGTGATAGTAATATGTGTTAACATTTATTGAATGTTTACCTTTTGCCAAGCCCTATCCCAAACCCTTATCCTGCTTTAATTTGTGTAATACTGTGTAACCAAGGCATGTTTATTCTCCCATAACCTGGAAGAAAATCCTTAAGGATTCCATAAATGTTTAGAAGCAGTAGTTGGCTGCCTCTGAAAAGGGAGATGTATTTTTAATATGCCATTTTTTTTACTAATTTTTGGGTTTTTTGGTTTATATTTTGTTAATTATTGGAGAAAAATAATGTATGCACATACTTTTAAAGCCCAGTACAAAAAATAAAAGCAGCAGCCCATTACATGGCAGGACACAGTGACACATTCCTATAACTCCAGTGACTGAGACAGGAGAATCAAAGAGTTGAGGACAGCCTCAGCATTTTAGTGGGACCCTGTCTCAAAAAGTTTGGGGAATGTAGCTCAGTGGTAGAGCACCTCTGGATTTAATCTATAGTACCTCAAAAATAACAACAAAAAAATCAATACTATTCAGAAATTTTCAATGCATATATTCCTTTTCAATCAACCCAAAATGACTTGTTACCAAAAAAATTAAAATCATTTTCAGTTTCCCAAAGGGAACAGGATACTAATTGACAAAAGACATCCTTACCCATGTGGCCTGACAGTTTTGTGGGGATAAGGGCCAGCCCAAGTTTGACCTCCTAGACCCTGATTACCCCTTTTCCTGCTAGGCATCATGTGCATGGACCACCTGGAGGAGATGCTGAAGCTAGTGGACTGCAACCCCATGATGATGAAGGATGGCAAATGGGTGGTACAGAAGTATATTGAGCGCCCCCTGCTCATCTTTGGCACCAAGTTCGACCTGAGACAGTGGTTCCTGGTGACCGACTGGAACCCACTTACTGTGTGGTTTTACCGCGATAGCTACATTCGCTTTTCCACACAGCCCTTCTCCCTAAAGAACCTGGACAAGTGAGCCCTACCACTCACCTCCCATGAACTCCCAGACTAGTTGGGGAGCTGGCAAAACAAAACAACACAACAACAAAAAAAGGCAATGAAAATATGCAGTGGAATCTATGCAGCATTGCTGGGTTCCAAACACAAACTGAGCAGGCAGGCAGGACCTCTATCCACCCAACCATCTTTCCATCCAACAGATATTTACCAAGAGTGTACCCTGTGCCATTCATTATTCTGGGCACTTGGGATACAACAGAAACAAATGGAGATCCCAGCTCTTAAGTGCTCATATTCTAGCAGGGAGAAACACAAAAGCATTGATCTAATAGGATAAAGTGCAATATGTGTTATAAAAAAAGAAAATATAGAACAGGATTAAAGGATGTCATTGGAAATTCCAGAGGAGAAAGGCAAGATGTGGTATTAATTTGGTTGGGGTGAGAGGAAACCTTGCTGAGGCTTCAGTTCAAATTCCATCTCTGTAGCTTCCAAGCTGTGGGCCTTTGTTCAAGTGAAAACCTATTTAAGAGCTGGAGATGTAGTGTAGAGTCCTTGCCTAGCATTTGTAAGGCCCTGAGTTTGATCTCCAGCACCACACATACAAAAATACTTGAACCTGGCTGGGCATGGTGGCACATGCTTGTAATCCTAGCAGTTCTGGAGATTGAGACAGGAAGACTGACTACAAGGCTTTATTCTTACCTACCTGCTTATCTTCCAGGCATTGGGAGGACAAACTGAGACTAGGCACAAGCACTTAATACTGTGGCTACCATGATTGGCACCCACAAAGCCTCCTGAGAGATAAAACTAATTGTCGCCCTAGAAGAATATAGGCTCCAGGCCTTTGTCATTCTTGTCCTCCCCAGTAGGGCCCTATTTCAAGTCAAAGTGACCAGCGTGTCCCAGGGTTGATGTCGAAATTTTCCTGCCCTCCCTCATTTTGGATAGGTGGGGCAGCAGGAGCTAAGCCCCAATTTTCTTTCTTTCCTTTTTTTTTTTTTTGATAACTGGGATTGAACTCAGGCACTTGACCACTAAGCCATATCCCCAGCCCTATTTTGTAATTTATTTAAACACAGGGCTCACTGAATTGCTTAGTGCCTCACCGTTGCTGAGGCTGGCTTTGAACTCACAATTCTACTGCCTCAGCCTCCCAAGCCGCAGGGATTATAGGCATGTGCCACCGTGCCCGGCTTGAATCCCAGCTTTCTACTTTGTGTTTCAGCTCTGTGCACCTCTGCAACAACTCTATCCAGAAGCATCTGGAGAACTCCTGCCATCGCCATCCCATGCTACCCCCAGACAACATGTGGTCCAGCCAGAAGTTCCAGGCCCACCTGCAGGAGATAGGGGCACCAAATGCTTGGTCCACTGTCATCGTGCCTGGCATGAAGGCTGCTGTGATCCATGCGCTTCAGACCTCCCAAGACACAGTACAGTGTCGGAAGGCCAGCTTTGAGCTCTATGGTGCTGACTTTGTATTTGGTGAGGATTTCCAGCCCTGGTTGATTGAGATCAATGCCAGCCCCACCATGGCACCCTCCACAGCTGTCACAGCCCGGCTCTGTGCCGGTGTACAAGCAGACACCTTGCGAGTGGTCATTGACCGGCGGCTGGATCGTAACTGTGACACAGGAGCCTTTGAACTCATCTATAAGCAGGTAAGGTGGAGGTGGAGAACTCCAGGGAATGTGCCTTCTTTTCTAGGCTGCTCCACAGTGAAGCACAGGGCTCTGCAGTCAGACCAGTTCAAAACCTGGGCTTGAGGCCTGGTTTTGCCAAGTTGTCCTAGTATATAGCCACGTCCCCTCCTCAGTTTCCTCATCTGTAAAATAGAGATATTACCATCTTTCTCATGAGCTGAGTAAATACAATGAGTTAATATGCCTGGATAATACTTCTAAAAGGCATGGACTCTGCGACATCCTTGGATTCAAATCCTGGGTCAGTAACTAAGCTGTATAACTTAAAACAAATTCCCAGCCTCTAGGTGGTCTGTTTATTCATCTATAAAGAACGAACGAAAATACTACCTAATTCATAAGATTATAAGAATTAAATAGTTAATATAAGTGAGGTACTTCAGAATAGGGCCTGGCATACAGTAAATGCTGTACAAGTTTTAGCTATTGTTATAACCTAATAAGATTGTTGTTTCATGAAAAATAGCATCACTTGTGAAGTGCCTGGAATATATATAGTAAGAGTTGATTACAGGCAGCTGCTATTATTTTTAATAATCTTTTGGGAGTATTGAGGACTGAACCCAGGATCCCTTTACTACTGAGCTACTTCCCAGCTCCTTTTTTTTAATATTTATTTTTTAGGTGTAGTTGGACACAATACCTTTATTTTATTTATTTATGTTTATGTGGTGCTGAGGATTGAACCCAGGGCCTCGCATGTGCTAGACAAGCGCTCTACCGCTGAGCTACAACCCCAGCCCAGCTCTTTATTTTATAGGATAAGATAGGGTTCTTAAAAATCAGGACTGGAATTGGGTGTGGTGGCACACACCTGTAATCTCAGCGGCTTGGGAAGCTGACACAGGAGGATCGCGAATTCAAAGCCAGCCTCAACAATGGTGAGGTGCTAAGCAACTCAGTGAGACCCTGTCTCTAAATAAAATACAAAACAGGACTGGGAATGTGGCTTAGTGCCTGAGTGCTCCTGAGTTCAATCCCTGGTACCCCCTCATACCCCCAAATAAAATTAGGGCTGGACAGTTCATGAGAATGAGACAAAAGGACTGTGAATTTAAAGCCAGCCTCAGCAGCTTAGTGAAGCCCTAGGCAACTCAGTGAGACCCCATCTCTAAACAGAATGTAGAATAATCAGTTGGAAAGCTATTTTCAGTTTTTTTTTTTGAGCTTAGGAAGTAATTTTTTTTTCAGCTAAGGATCTTCTGACCAGCATTCTGTTTCTGTCAAAGTTTGGTTATATACAGGAAAGGTGCTGATCCTATGAACTACCCCATTCTCTCTGGGATTATAGGCATGTGCCACTGCACCTGGCTCCAAATGTCTTTTATTGCTGATTTGTTTTTTAGGCCAGTGTGTAATCACACCCTGTACTGGTGGTTTTGTCTCTTTAATCTTTTTTAATCTAGGACAGCTCCACTACTCCCCCCCCCCATTATTTTGATCTTTTGAAGGGACCAAGCTGGTTGTTTTATAGAACTGTCCTACATCCTGGATTTATCAGATTGTTTCCTTATGGTGTCATTTACTTGGTCTTCTGTTATCTAGATGTCCTGTAAACTAGAAGTTGGGTCAAACAGCTTGAATGAGGTTCAGGTAAAACATTTTTAGCAAAAATACAACAGAGGTGACTCTGGGTACCTCTTGTGACATCACAAGGAACCTATTGTTAGAGTGTCTCATGATAGATTAATGATGCTGAATTTGACCATGGGTTAAGGTAGTGGCTACCACGTCTCTCCGTTGGAAGCTCTTCCTACCTTATTAATTATACTGTGTATTAGTCTATTTTCTGTTGCTAATAACAATACCATACACTGGAAAAAATATAAAGAAAAAAGGTTCGTTTGGGCTCACAGTTCTAGATGTGCAAGATCAAGAAGCCACATTTGCTTCTTTTGGCTTTCTTGCTGGCAGTGTCCCAAGGTGGTACAAGGCATCATATGTCAAGAGACAGAGAGGCACTGGAATGTAGCTCAGTGATATAGCACTTGCCTAAGCACATGCATAAGGTCCTTGGTTCCATTCCCAGCACCATACAAAGAGAGAGAGAGAGAGAGAGAGAGAGCGAGCGAGCGAGCCTGGTGCAGCAGCGTACACCTATAATCCCAGATAATCGGGAGGATCAAAAGTTTGTGTCCAACCTCAGCAACTTAGTGAGGTCCTAAAAAAGAGAGACAGACATGCATATGTGTCTGTGTGCCACCAGCACTCAATCATTCAGGCTCTACCCTGATGACTTTATCTAATCCTAATCACCTCCCAAAAGCCTGACCTCTAAACATCATAGTCAGATTAAGTTCCCCCCTCTTAATAACTCACTATGGTGATTATATTTCAAGACATAAACCCTTGAGGGACACTCAAAATATCCAAACATAGCACTTTGTAAGATGGTACTTTGGCTGTCTTCAACTTACCCATTTCTTGTCATACTTTCTACTTGTTTTGATATCCAGTTTTGATTCTTACCCCTATTAGAGTTCCAATTTCTAGTTTTATTGTTCACTCTACGTTTATTAAATGAGGTTTCTGTGTGGAGGTGCATGCCAGTAATCCCAGAGGCTCAGGAGGCTGAGGCAGGAAGATTGTGAATTATTCAAAGCCAGCCTTAGCAATTTAGCAAGGCCCAAAGCAAGTTAACAAGACCTTGTCTCAAAATAAAACATTAAAAGGGCCAGGGATGTGGCTCAGTGGTAAAGTGCCCCTGGGTTCAATCCCCACTACCAAAAAAAAAAAAAAAAAAAAAGAGGTTTCTTCTGTAAAGATGACCTTTCTCCAATCACCTAGGGCTATTTGGTAGCTCAGGTTCTGCAATGGTTTTATTCATTTATTTCAAAACCCAGGGTACTCTACCACTGAGCTACATCTCCAGTCTTCTGCTTTTTATTTTGAGACAGGTTGGCCTCAAACTCATGATCCTCCTGCCCCAGCCTCCCGAGTAGCTGGGACTATAGGTGCACATAACCATACCAGGTGTGCTCTGCCTTCTTTTTTTTTTTTTTAGCTTTTTTAGTTGTAGACAGACACAATACCTTTATTTATTTTTATGTGGTACTGAGGATCGAACTCAGTGCCTCACATGTGCAAGGCAAATGCTTTACCAACTGAGCTACAACCCAGCCCCAATGCTCTGCCTTCTTTAAGGCTCTTAGTTTCTGCTCCCCCGTGACTTGAGCTCATATAAGGTTCCAGGCAGTCTCTAAGCCTGCTGTCTATGTGGGTATCATAAGTCAAATTATCTCTGTAGAGACTCTGATTGTTGGCAGTGACTTGTAGAACACAGCCACACATATTTCATCATGGACTGGGGGCACAAGCAACCTGAGAGGGCAGTAGATGTGGAGGTGTGGTTGTGGGGACTTGACTGGAATTCCCTCCTCTTCTGAGTTACTAGTCCCTGGGGCTCTGTGACTTCTTAATCCCTCTAGGATTAAGGGGTCTCCCGGAGGACAGAGGTGGGCTTCCCATTTCTCAGCTCAGTTTTGATTCTTACCTATTTTATTAGAATTGCAAAAAATGCAAATTTCTAATTTTATTTTTCATTCTACTTGACCAGGTGCTTCAGAGGTGAATTCTATCCATCTCTGCCCTGGCTCCTGCTGCAAGGATTCCAACACCACTGACAGGCCTTGTCTCTTCTCTTCTTGTCCACAGCCTGCAGTGGAGGTGCCCCAGTATGTGGGTATCCGGCTCCTGGTGGAGGGTTCCACCATCAAGAAGCCCACAGCACTGTGTCATCAGCGGATGGGGGTCCGCCCATCATTCCCTCATCTGCTAACCCAGCAAGGCTCTGGGGAAGGCAAGGAGCTGGGGACCCCTACCCACAGGTCAGCTTCCAGGAAAGTTGCTGGGTCCAGGAGCCAGGGGCACATTGAGAAGCCAGGCTCCACTGCTACCACCTCCGTCCCCGGGAAGGGGAAGAAAGGCAAGACAAAAAGTGCCACAGCCCTGCTCTGCCCCATCCCCCATAAGTGGGACCCTCCCCCAACACCAAAATGGGCTACATTGTTACCATGACCTGTGTTAGTGGGAAACGGCAGTCTCATTCCTTGAAAAGACTGCCATTGAGTATGAGGATGACCTCAATCCCTGGGTAACAGCATTCCCTCAAACACCCCAGTGTCCCAAAGTGATTTCTTCTGTTCTCTAAGCCCCTCAACCACTTGGATTTGCCCTACCACCAGAACCACCAATAGAAGGAAAGAACCACTACTCACAAAGTAATCTTTTAAAATATACAGCCAAGTAAGCATTGTCCTCTCCAGAGTCTCAGTCACCCTGCCTGGACTCAATCCCAGGGTGCTCTGTCTCCAGAGTCCAGGCTTTTGCCAAAGCAGTATTCTTCCTTTGCTTCYATGCAGAATGGCCTTTGGGGAAGAATCTAATCACTTAAATGTTCACTACCACTACCTAACCAGCTCCTTTAGTCTTCACAGCAACCTAGTGAGATAGGTGCTATCGTCCCCATTTTCCAGCCGAGGTAGCAGAAAGTTTAAGGAAGTTGCCTGAGGTTGCACAGCCCAGAAGGGGCAGAGCTGGGATGCAGACCCAGGTCTGTTGGACTCCAAACCCTGGATTCTTCCCACTGCCTCTGGAGGAGGAACCGGGAGGGCTCCACTGCCCTCACCCTGCCCCTGTCTTCCCTACCCTGTGCACATACCCTATGGGGCAGCAGAGCAGCTGGTCAGCCTCTCTAGGCCCTCACAGCTTCCCTTGCTCCCACAGCCCCTTACCACTTCCCCAGCCTCCACGCCAAGGCACGGCTTCCTTCTTCCTGTGTGCTCCAACCCCAGGGGCGCATCCTCAGAGTGCAGCCCTGCAAACTGGTGGGCACTAAGGCCCTGTCGCCCACAGGCAAGGCCCTGATGACTATACCAACGGCCAAGGTTATGATTTCCCTTCCACCAGACTCTGACCTCAAGATGGCACCCAGCATCCCAAAACCAAGAAAGGTGGGCCTGGATCCATGACTCATACCCTGGTGGACAGTGCTGAGCACTGGGGTCMGGGCTGGAGGGCACAGGCAGAGAGCAGCTCCCAGGCTGCCCAGAGGGTGTGGGTTTGTCCCTTTCTCAGCAAGGGACCAATATCAGATAAAAGGGAAGGACTTGTCCCCCTCAAAACCCCTTCCTATACAGATTCCTGATCATCTCTCTCTTTCTCCCCCCCTTTCACACCGAGGCTGTTGCTCCCAAGCGCCTTCGAGGTCCCCAACCTGCCCGTGTCTTGTGGCCTCAGACCTTTGAAGTCGGAACTCTTCCCAGCACCCATAGGAAGGTCAAGGGCAAAGGCAAGTTGAAGGCCAGACTCTGCGACAAACCCAAGGCGGAGGCATACCCTGTGAAGAGGCTGGGCCATCCTATATCCCTGCCCCTTACTGATACATTCCAAAAGCTGAGGGGTACAGAGGTTATAAGGCTAGGGAAATCTTGCTCTGTTCTTGTGGGGCACTGCCTCTGTCCTGGATCTAGCACCAAATAAAGAGGAGCAAACGAACTGTGGAATTGTGGTAGGCTTTGGCTCCACCACTATTGGGTGAAAAACAGATGGGGTGAAGTCTCTACCCAACAGTCCAGATCAAGAGCTAACAGCAGCCATAATTCCCACTTAGTGACAGACATGGGACTTCCTGTTCAGATACTTCCTTGGTATGTCTGAGCCTTCACTTATATATATGAGGAAACTAAGTCTGAACAAGAAGATGTGGCTTGACCAAGATCACACGGCAGTGAAAAGTCAGGGACACATTGCCAGACTGTGGACCACTGGGAATCCCTAGCCCCAGAGGCTGGCAGAATGACATCCAGTAGGCATAGAAACATTTACGTTACAACACAGGGAAAAGGGTGGACCTTGATGAAACCCCAGCCTTTCTCCAGAGGGTGTGGGTTTGTCCCTTTCTCAGCAACAGACTAATATCAGGTAAAATGAAATATCCAACAAACCACACCTGTGTGTAAAAATTTGGTATTACCTAGTCTTAATGGATTGAATGGTGGCCCCCTAAAAGATATGTCTGTCACCTGCATGTATGTCCTTAAACAGGTAAGGAGTTTTACAATCTTGAGATGAAAGCACCCAGATTATCTGAGTGGTCTCTAAACCCAACAATAAACATCTTTATAAGAATCAGAAGAGGGCTGGGGATGTGGCTCAAGCGGTAGCGCGCTCGCGCCTGGCATGCGTGCGGCCCGGGTTCGATCCTCAGCACCACATACCAACAAAGATGTTGTGTCCGCCGAGAACTAAAAAATAAATACTAAAAATTCTCTCTCTCTCTCTCTCTCCTCTCTCACTCTCTCTTTAAAAAAAAAAAAAGAATCAGAAGAGATGATAAGAGATATGGGAGCCAAAAAATTCTACTTCCATTTTCTTAGATCCTGACTAGATCATAGAATTAAATTACATAAGCTATATTAACAAGAGAAAATCTGCCTACAAATTTAATGTAAGTTTGACTTGGCAGGGGAGCCCTTATAAATGAAGACCCAAAGAGGCACAGTCAGTTACTTATGATTCCGGCTCAGATAAAGAATAGTTGTGAAGAAGCCACTAAATTATGCAAGGAGGATTAAAAGATGGGAGTTGTTTATTTATTTGCCATGTTTGGGATGGAACCCAGAGCCTCACGCATCCTACACAGGCACTCAACCATCGAGCTACAACCTCAGTCCTCAGCCCTGGAGTTATTTTAACAAGGTCTTCAGAGAATTCTCTTGGTTTTGACATCTTAGGTATAAGTAGGGATGCTGTATATTTCTAGCATAGGGAGAGTACCTTTCATATTGGAATGGAGTTTCATCTGCTTTTAAGAAGCTGCACAAAGGTCAAAGTGATGTTTTTCTATTTTGCCCAATAGGGATGAAATCCAGGGCCTATTAGGCTATGTGAGTACTCTCCTACTGAGCTACACGCACAGCCCGAAAGTGATCTCACACCTACTGCCTTTCAAGTTCCATACAGTCAATCTGCCAGGGTGGATTTTTTTTCCCCCTCCCAGTACTGGGGATTGAACCCAGAGAGAGTTAACCACTAAATGATATCCCCAGCCATTTTAACTTTTTATTTTGACAAGTAACTGGGATTATAGGCCTACACCACTGCACCTGGCCCAGGGTGGTATATTTTTTAACTCCTTCAATGACCATGTGAAACTGGGTGTGGTGGTGCCTACTTGTAACCCCAGCTACTTGGGAAGTTGAGGCAAGAGGATTACAAGTATAAGGCCTGCCTGGGCAACTGAGTGACACCCTGTCTCAGAATTTTAAAGAAAGGCTGGGGATATAGCTCAGTGGTAGAACATTTGCCTAGCATGTGTAAGGCCCTGGGTTCAATCTCCAGCACACACAAAAAAAGAGAGACAAATTAGTATGGGATACTGGAAACCACAGAAGAATATAGGAGTGGTTCTCTCCTAGAGCTCTTCATTTTGGATTTGCAGCCTTGGTTTTGGATTTCTGGTCTCCCAAAAGGAGAAAATCCACTTCTATTTTTTTTTTTTTTTTTTTKTTTAAACTATTCAAGCTTGTGATAATTTGTTAGGGCAGCTCTAGGCAGCTCTTTTTTTTTTTTTTTTTTTTTTTTTTTTTTTTTTAAAAGAGAGAGGTGGGGAGAGAGAGAGAATTTTAATATTTATTTTTTAGTTTTCGGCGGACACAACATCTTTGTTTGTATGTGGTGCTGAGGCTCGAACCCGGGCCGCACGCATGCCAGGTGAGCAAGCTACCGCTTGAGCCACATCCCCAGCCCCTCTAGGCAGCTCTTGACACTAGTCAAGTTGAAGATACAAATGCTATGACCCAGAAATTCTTGCATCCCTGAACCAGGAAATGAGTGCAAGCAGTTTCACAGTAGCTTTGTGGTGACAACCAAAAGATGTAAGTGTCCAATTAATGGTAGAATGGATAATTGTGGTCTGTTCAAATTCTGGAATTCAAACTTACATGCCAAACAACACAACTGCAGGTCACAATGTAGAACAAGAGCAGGTTGCAAAAGAATACACACAGCCTGAGCTCTTTTTTGTTTGATTATTTTTGGTACCTGGGACTGAACCCCAGGGYGCTTAACCACTGAGCCACATCCCCAACCCTTTTTATTTTTCATTTTGAGAAAAGGTCTCACTGAGTTGCTTAGGGCCTCTCTAAGTTGCTGAGGCTGTTCTCAGACTTGTAATCATCATGCCTCTGCCTCCAAAATCACTGGGATTACATGTATCTGTCACCATACTTGGCAGCATGAGCCCTTTTATAGAAGCATCAAAAATGACAAAAATGTAGGGTGTGGTTGGAGCACACCTGTCATCCAAGCAGCTCAGGAAGCCAAAGCAGGGAGATCACAAGTTAGAGGCCAGCCTTGGCAACTTAATGAGACCCTCACAAACTTAGTGAGACACTGTTTGAAAATAAAAAAGGGTTAGGGCTGGGCAACAGTGGTGCATGCCTGTAATCCCAGGGGTTCGGGAGGCTATGAAGCAGGAGGATTGTGAATTCAAAGCCAGCCTCAGCAACTTAGCGAAGCACTTAGCAACTCAGCAAGACCCTGTCTAAATAAAATATAAAAAAGGGCTGGGATATAGCTCAGTGGTTGAGCATCCCTGGGTTCAATCCTCAGGACCAAAAAAAAAAAAAAGGATTAGGGATATAGGTCACTGGTAAAGTACCCTTGGGATCAATCGCCAGTACCAAAGGTGGGGGGAAAAAGGCAAAATGAAGAGTATTGTTTAGAGATACTTAAGCATGCAGTATAACTTAGAAAGAAAAGCAAGGAACGAATCCTCGCAAGTTGGGCAGTGGCTTCTAACCTAGACTGAACAGAACCCCTTAGGGATCTTTTTTTAAAAGACTGATGGCTTGGGGGTGGTGTAGCTCAGTAGTAAGGGGGTATGCTTAGCATGTGTGAGGAAGCCCTGGGTTTAATCCCTAGCACTGCAAAAATAAACAAGCATTGCAGTCAGGATCTCCATGCCAAGCCAATTTAGAACCTTTCAGCTGCAGAATCATGGGGAGTCCTAGGGATTTAAACTTCCTAGGAGGGGAGGAGGATTCTAACATGGGCTCAGGGTTGGGAATGTTGCTCTGCAGAAAGGAGAGGGAATATATCTATGTGCTCCAAGTGGGGTTTATATGAGTATCATTTTATCATTAGTCTTTGATATTTTAGGCATTGTCACCATGTTTGATATATTTCAAAAAGTTTTGTGTGGGGAGCGGCTAGGGATGGAATCCAGGGCCTCCTACATGCTAAGCATAAGTTCTACCACTGAGCTACACCCCAAGCCCTACTCTATGTCACTTCTTTTTTTGGGGGGGTACTCAGAATTGAACCCAGGGACACTTTACCACTGAGCTACATATATTTCCAGCCTGTTTTATTTTTTATTTTGAAACAGAGTCCTGCTAAATTTCCCAGGCCCGGAATTATGATCCTCCAACCTCAGTCTCCTGGGTCACTGGGATTACAGGCAAGCACCACTGAGCCCAGCTGTTTCACAATTTTTTATTTTATTATTTATTTATTTGGTTCTGGGGATTGAACCCAGGGGTGCTTAACCAATGAGTCATATTCCTAGCAATTTTAATTATATATTTTTAATTTGAGACAGAGTCTCAGTCACTTAAATTGCTGAGACTGTTCTTTTTTTTTTTTTTTTTTTT